TACTGCTGGCAGTAGTATATCTTAGAGATATCGCGCGCTGGCAGCCAGTCAATAGATTATTAGATGGGTGGCCCGTCTGCTAGCTAATTGGTCAAAGCATGGCACTAGCCACCCTTGGTGAGGGCGTGCGACGAAGCGAGAAGATAGATCTATACTGGATAGGGGAGAGGACCTTTTCTCCTTATCTAACGTCTTGTACCTACACGTAGATACCGAACGCAGTATATTAATCTAGCCTACCTAGGCCTTAGACATCTTGCTCGTTGCTCTCGTGACATTACGTTGGATCACACCAACCAACCAACATAACTAGTTCAGCAGACCCGACCCTGATGATGTAGGCGATGATGGAACAGATTAAGATGCTGTAGGAGACCTTTCAGCAAGCTCAGCAGGCTTAACAGGAAGCCTTCTAGTAGTCTCTCTAATAGATGCAGGATTAGCATTAAGCTAATATGGAGGCTCTACGCAAGGAGCTCACCGCGCCCAAGAAGTCTATTCGCTTTACTAATTCCCCTACGTTGACCCCAGCTGAGGAGTCGTTAGAGCCCTCTATAACGCCATCTGGCGATGGCTTGATAACTATGAAGACGGTACACCTGAGCGACCGACTACCTGACCCGCCCATGTTCACTGGTAAGAGGAAGGACCTACCTCTGTTCATTTCTCGATTGCGCATGAAGCTGGAGGGCAACACTAACTAATACCTGACTGAACGCGCCAAGTTAATATACGCGCATTCGCGACTTGACTATAACCCTGTAACGCTTGTAGATCCGCTGATAGGATCTGACATAGCTACTATAGAGAAGCTGATTGCCTTCCTCTACGCTACGTACGACGATCTAAATAGAACACTATCTACCTGGAGTAAGCTGGATAACCTTAAACAAGGAAAGCGCCCTTTCCTTAGCCACTTTACTGAATTTTGACGCCTTGTAGCAGATACTAATCTGAATGAGGAAGCGCAGATTAATGCCTTACGCCGCTCACTATCTGATGACCTCCGACGCGTAATGGTAGGAGCCAAAATCCCGTCTGACATCAACGAATACGCCAACCTAATCGACCCAGCTACTAAGGTGCCGCCTGAGTATCACGATCTGCTACATGTGTTCTCGCGGAAGGAAGTAGATAGACTGCCTAAGCATTGATCATACGATCTGAAGATCGAGCTTTAGGGTGGTAAGTAGCCTGGATTTGGACCGTTATACAGCATGTCTCAAGATGAACTAAAAGTACTAAGGAAGTACCTTACTAATCACCTCACTAAGGGCTTTATACGTGCTAGTAAGTCCCCTATAGCTTCGCCAGTTATCTTCGTAAAGAAGCCAGGTGGAGGACTATAATTCTATATGGACTATAGAGCGTTGAACGCACTAACTATTAAGAACTGATACCCTATTCCTCTACTTTAAGAAACACTAAGCCGCCTAAGCAAGGCTAAGTACTACACAAAGCTTGACATTATCGCCGCGTTTAA